TTTCTCAAAGCAAAGAATGCTTTTACTAGTGAAAAATGTTTAACATATTATGACCTAAATTTACCTCTCATACTGGCAACAGATGCGAGCCCATACGGCGTAGGGGCAGTGTTATCGCATCGTTTCCCTGATGGGACCGAAAGGCCAATACAATACATTTTACATACGTTGAACACAACACAGAGAAAATATAGTCAGATAGATAAAGAAGCGTATGCCATTGTTTACGCTATAAAGAAATTTTATCAATACCTTTACGGGAACAAATTTACATTAATTACAGATCACAGACCACTTACACAAATCTTTGCAAAAAACGAAGAATTGCCACGTTATAGTGCAATAAGAATGCAACATTACGCAATATTTCTACGTGGTTTTGAATACACTATTGAGTACAAGAAATCAGAAAATAATGGCAACGCAGACGGACTATCTAGACTACCTGTAATTACCGCAGAAGAAAACATCGATACCATTGATTTATTCTATATAAATACGTTTGAGACGTTATCTATCGATGCAAATACCATACTAGAAAAAACGCATAAAGATCGCGAATTACAATGTGTGATATCTGCATTAAAAAATGGAAAAAGCCTTACGGCAAAAGAAACATGGTGCATCGATCCGCGTGAATTTACTTTAGAACAGGGGGTACTAATGCGAAACCATTAAGTTGTAATACCGAAAGAATTACGAAATACGATTTAACAAGAATTACATAACGGTCATTTCGGAATAGTAAAAATGAAAGGACTAGCTCGAGGGCATTGCTGGTGGCCGAACATAAGTAACGATATAGAAAAAATTGCAAAAAACTGCTTAGAATGCCAAAAATACAAAAATAATCCAGTCAAAGCAGATATACATGTGTGGAAACCAGCAAAGGCACCTTTTGATCGTGTTCACATAGATTTTGCCGGACCATTTCTTGGAAAATATTTTTTCATATTAGTAGATGCGTTTTCGAAGTGGCCAGAAGTGTATATCGTTAACGATATGTTAAGTGAATCAACGATTACTGTTTGTACATAAATTTCTGGACGATTTGGAATTCTTAAAATTTTAGTATCTGATAATGGTAGGACTTTCACCTCCACAACATTCCAAGAATTTCTTAAAAGTAATGGTATTGTACATAAAAGAACGGCTCCATTTCACCCAGCGACGAACGGTCAAGCCGAAAGATACGTGCAAACAACAAAATTAGCACTAAGAAAATTACAGCGTAAAGAAAAACTTAAATTAGATTTGCAATTAATTTTGTCGCAATATCGTCAAATGCCTCACACAATTACAGGAATTCCGCCAACAGAATTAATGTTCGGTAGAAAAATAAGATGTAAGTTAGATTTAATTAAACCGAGTGAAATTACAAAAAGAGCGGAAATTAATGACGATAAAAAGTGCAGAGAATTTCAAATAGGAGTTGGCGTGGCGGCAAGGAAGTACGGAGAAAAAGAAAAATGGATTTTCGGTAAAATAGTGCGTCGAACAGGCAAATTACATTATGAAATTAAATTACATGACGGGAGAGTATGGTTGCGACATATAAATCAATTGCGACGTATAGGAAATGTAAAAGAGAAAGAAAATTTTCCAGAATTTTTTGTTTTAGAGGAAGAGATGGCAATGACGCGTATAGATTCGAAAGCAATTACGAATAATCCTAATACTTCAAGGTCTCCAGAGTCCACTTCGTTTATAGGCAGTAATGTCTCCACAGAATCAGGAAAAGACAGTAGTCCACCTGTTAGACGAGCCAGAGGACGGGGGAAAAGACTGAAAAAAGATACGCCACAACAAAATAATAATGAATCTACAAATGACGAAGAATTTCATACACCAAGAATAATTCGCGTAAATCGAGTAAGTGAACGGAAAATTCCAACCCGTCTAAAAGATTACATTACACATTAAATACTATTTATCTGATAAGAAGGTAGGAATTCTTCGTCGGGAGGAAGTGTTAGGTGCGAGTCGATGCTTACACACACATGAGCGAACGCGAACATGTACAAGCGAGCGAGGAGCGAGCAGTCCGCGTGTAACTGCCAACCAGCGCACATATGTAATTAAGTTAAGGGTATCAAATAAAGAACAACCGAGTTACATCCCAAGTGTACTTCCTTTATTTGATCCCTCATTCAAATACACAACAGATACTATTATCTAAAAGTTGTGAGCATTAAATTTATAAAAATTATAATAAAAGTAGTGGTACAGCAGTAANGACTTCTTTGTTTAATAATTCAAAGAATATATAAATGATGTGAATTTTGCAAAAAAAATTTGTATATGCTTGAAACAATCACATAATAATAATAATATATGAATGTTAGAATTCGAAATTCTCAAAATATTGACAAGCTTTAAAATACCTCTGCAAATTTTTTGTAAATCCATTGGTAGAAGATGTTACTTTGTCATGAATCTGCAATCCTAAGCACAAATTTGAATTGAGCAAGTTCAGATCTTGGCTAATGATTTTGTAATCTTGGTCTCTTGAGCCTAGCGTGTCGTTAAATGATGGTGTGCATGGTATACCAAAAAAAAAGAATAAAAAATAATAACTAATAGTAACTTCTGTAACACTCTCTTGTGGTCTCAAGTCTCTATAAAATATTAATATCAGTTATTGTTTTTTATTCGACAAATTAATTTCCGCTTGGATACTATACTTGAATAATTACTACAGACAACAAATAAGTAACATTAAAAGTTACTCACTGTAGAACAGAAGTATTTACGCATTTCTCTTTACGCAATAAAGTTATAGCTATTTGGCATGTAGATGCTACATAATACTCTATTAAGATTCTGTCTTGGGAGCCAACACGAAATATGTTTTCGCGTACGCGAAAACTCTACTTTCTCCAGATATGCTCCACCTATCTTCGCGCAAGGACTTGATGAATGTTCACGTACGCGAAGAGATTTTCGAATAACTTTTCGCGTACGCAAAAAAACTGTTAAGCTACATACAAGCTTTTCAGGTACGTGGAAAATTTTAGACGTTAAAACTTTTTATGCATTGATACACAAAATTTGTTATTTATGTGCACAAACCCCCACGTATGTTAAAGCTTTTCGTACAGTTATGTATGCACTATAATATATTTTTCGTACCTGCGGCCATAAAGTGGTGAATCACGCAAACGTGATAACCGTTTTACTGTCACAGAGGTACGAAAAATAGTATACACACCACGTTCGGAGGTTAAGAAATGTCCTAGATTTCACTTTAACCGCCCTCGGCTTCGCCTCTGGCGTATATTCACGTGAAATCTGCGACATTCTTAACCTCATTCACTAGGTGCGTAATATACGATATACTAATACATCAATAATAAGTGGATATGCTGTGGGTATTCGCTGTGAGAGTGAAGACAGCCAGCGCTCTAGTTGGCGATTTTTTGCAACGCTGGCTGAATAGCGGATGACTTCCGCGATGCTAAGTCTTGAAAAAATATTTATTAGAATTGATATAATTTCTGCATGGTTGAGAAAGTGTTATTGAAAGATGATGTGAGCAATCTTCTTGACTACAAAAAATATGTGAGAATTTGACATCATGTTTTCTTCTGATAGCAGCATCGAGGCTATTTTTCTTGACTTCATTATAAGCGTATGAGTTATGTACCCACTTAAATCACTTCACATATATTTTGTAGTCAAGAAGGTTGCTCACATCATCATCTTTTAATAACACTTGCTCAACCATACAGAAATTAAGTATATCAGTTGTAATGAATTTTCTTTTTAGATTTGGCATCACGGAAGTCGTCCGCTATCCAGCCAGCGTTGCAAAAAATCGCCGACTAGATCGCTGGCTGTCTTCACTCTCACAGCGAGTGTCGTGAGTCTCGGCGAGTTACAAGTTATGTATTCCAATTTAAATCATTATTAACTATAAGAATTGTAAGGGTTGTATTCATATTCATAATCTAGATTTTTTCTAAGAAATCATTTATTATATCAATAACAATAAAAAAAAAAACATATTGATTGTTTAAACTAAAAATAAACTTTATCGTACGCGAACGTTTTGGCACGTGAATAACTAACTTTGCGTATTAGCACATAAAAACCTTTTACATCAGAAATAAATTTTTAGCGTACGCGAAAAGCACATACGTAGCTGAAGGGTTTTTTTCACATACACGAAAAGTTATTCGAACATCCCTTCGCGTACGCAAACATTCATTAAAACCTTGCGCGAAGGTAAGCAGAGCATCTTCTGAGTGGAAATTTCACGTGTTGGCTCCTTGGATAGACTTAACTCTTAATATGTTTTATTTATATCAATATCGTAATCTTGACTGATAGTAAACAATATTAATCAAAGAATGCATATACTAACAAGAAATAAGTCAAATTGTGCCTGCTTAGTATTAAAATCTTCTTCTGAAAAGAGGCTATGTAACTTATCATACGTATAATATCAGAGAGAATAAGCACTTATAAAATTTCTTATCAATAATCAAGGCCTCTATTTTTTTGTCACTGTAAAAGTTGAGTAATAAACCTTACCTGACCACACTTATTTGGGGTACTTAAAATATGTCGCATCTCCGTGAGAAATATTTTTTTTACTTGATTGAGATAGTCATGTACTGTTTAAATAGCAATCCGCTCTTTGTTTATTATGATCATTGCAGTTACATTTTAAGGTAATGGTGACGCTGACGCTGGTCGAAGCATAGCGGATCAAGCATGACTACTATTTTGCTTACAGAAATTCATGGATAAAATACTATGTTGACTAGAATCGATTATTTTGTCGGATGATGGGGCTAGGTGACATCGTTTCAGTAATACTCAAGCTTAATTGTAAATTAGAGCCTGGGTATTTGGTCTCTGTCAGATCAAGTGGACACACAGTGTATGAGAGCAACAGGCACACAGGCTCAATTCTTTGAATTTTCTACCTCAGCTTTAATCTGGAACATAAGCAAGCAGTATACTTTTATAGTATGTCTATGTATAATACCGACCTCTTTGCATTTGATGCTCTGGATATTAGAACAAAAGCAGTTTTGTAGAACTGACTCAGCATGAGAGAAATGTTGGAGTGGCGAGTTAGCAAGTAGGCCAGAATCGACGCCAAGGTTATTCACAGTAAAGCTGCTAGGACAGTAGGCTTGATCATGGGCAGACATATCATAGGAATCTTGAACTTTTAACATTGAGTTGTCATAGGAGTTCGAGACTAAGTTGTAATGTAGCTGTTGCTGACGATGTAGTTCACTCAGATTGACGACGTCTTTCACAGGTTGATCAAGGTGTACTAAGTTCAGGGCAACATTGAGGTTGTAATCCGTGCTGGTACTATTGCAGGCCTGTAGCTGACACGAATAATGTCCAATAATATCTTTTGAGCAATCAGGTCTGATCAGCGATTTAGACCAGCTATCTATTTGAGGGTTGCAATTTTCACCACTGCTGCTCGTTGCTGTCAGAGGGGCGTACGAGTTTGAAACAGAACTATAGAACCCATCGTTTGTGGTTTGGCCAGGATGCTGTCTCAATGATTGTATACCATTGTCAGAGGTATGCAAAGTTCTAGAACAAACAAGTCTTAATTTCCCTTCAGTTCTTTCTATTGTTATGATGTATAATTTGTAAATGTTTCATTATGACTTCTTTGTTTAATAATTCAAAGAATATATAAATGATGTGAATTTTGCAAAAAAAATTTGTATATGCTTGAAACAATCACATAATAATAATAATATATGAATGTTAGAATTCGAAATTCTCAAAATATTGACAAGCTTTAAAATACCTCTGCAAATTTTTTGTAAATCCATTGGTAGAAGATGTTACTTTGTCATGAATCTGCAATCCTAAGCACAAATTTGAATTGAGCAAGTTCAGATCTTGGCTAATGATTTTGTAATCTTGGTCTCTTGAGCCTAGCGTGTCGTTAAATGATGGTGTAGGTGTATCAGATGTGTGAAAGGTAGAGTTTAAAAAGGAACTGGCACCTAATTTAATATCAAAATCTGGTGCTATTGGTGCTTCCACTTGATACTGTTGCAAATTATCATTGCCATGGTGAGCAGAAACATTTTTAGTTGTAAAATCTTCATCAAGAACTTTGGCAACAAGATCATTCACCATGGAGTTGTTAAGATCTTGTCCATCCTCATCATCCAAAATGGTCTATAATTTAATAGTTTTATGAAAGTAACAAAAAACACGTTTCCAAGATTAATTAGCTTTACACTTAATTCTTTCAATATTACATAAGAATTGTGCAATGAGTATACCATTACAGTCTAATGAAATAGAGATTGTCTGCTTTAAGTAATTTTTAACTTCACTAATTTAATAATCAATGTTAAAAAAATTTGAATTTCTGGAAAATAAACCTTTTTGGTAGATCCTCTAGCAAGCAAATCGTAACTCCATGGACTATACTCATTGCGTTGGTTTTCTTTGGCAATTTCAATCATACTACTGGTTTTTTTGAATCTGAAAAGTATTTAAAACATACATGTATGAACATAAACAATTGTGTATATATTTAAACATAATTATGTAGATTAACCGCCTGCTAAATATAGTTCATGCTGTAAAGGAATCAATTTATTATACTTGACACTTGAAAAACTAAAATATCGCTCATTTAATAGTCCCTTCATTTTATTATAGGTTTGGAGCTTTGTCTAGAAGCTTGAAAGCGTCCACGATATACATTTTTAGAAGCCTTTAAGGTCTTCCAAACTAAAGCCCCAAATAAATGTAACAGGTACCATTTGACAAGAGCTTTACTTATCAAATAATCAGTTCTCTTGTATGCTGATGCCATTCATTCAAAATTAGTTTGCACCACATTGGTCCATCTTTTCTGTATTGTAAGTGGTATAATCAGATGCATTGCTCTAGAAGAAACTGGATAGAAGAGAAAAATGTAGAACAAAAATACTTAACATTCAAATCCACCTGTGATAAGTGGATAAGTCCATTACAGAATGTTGAGACAAACAACAGCATGCTTGGCCTTTATAGTGTTATCAAGTGAGATTGGTCACCAATAATAAAAAGGTTGATGCAGGTACATACCCCACCAGTTGCTTACGCAAAATCATAAATATAAATAACAACTGGCTGAAGTTTGACACTATTAAGTATTTTGGACTTGTGGAAAGAAGGGCACGATTGTGAATTCCTGGGCACTTAGATATTCAGCTATGTTGTAACCCAATATCTTGGCACCTAGGAATCGTAATCTTTCTAATAAAGAATATACATCATGACTACATAATTTGTCAAGAAAACTTAATGAATCCGTCAAGAGGCTGAAAACATCCAGTTGACAGATAGACCATTTAGTAAATTTATGACAGTATGAATTTAAAATCAACCTGCTTCTCAGAAACATGATTTCGTGAATTTCGTAAACTTACTTTACAACGTAATACACGCATTCTCAACACTTGAAATCACTATTACTAGAAAAAAGGTACCATAGAACTGGAAAAACTACGCAAACCAAACAAATCGTTAACAAAAGCGCCTTCCATCACCACCTATGCGAATCCGATACTTACGTTCTAACTAACTCTACAACTCGCGACGTTGAGGGACGAGGTCCGTATGCAATTCTCGTTCACGTTCAATTTAACCTTAGAGCATACACTACAATTCAACGCACAGTGTAAATGTGTAATCCGCAATCGCCGCCAGCAAAGCAGTTACTTATGTAAGACGTGACTCACGAGACAACGTTGCGTGGTTGGGGGCGCTACTATCGATTTACTGGTGATGTGATATGTGATCCGCAATCCCGCCAGCAGTAAAGCAGACAACGTCGGTCTACTTGCTCTTTTTCGTGACATTTTTGCTGTGATCCCGCGCAATCCCGCCAGCAGTAAATCTGTTATTTCCATTTTTCTTTTTGGCACTTGAAACTATTTTTTTTTGGTCTGCGTGTTTGTTTACGTCTAGCACAATATGCTTTGTTTACAATCAGGAAATGTCACGAAAAAGAGCAAGTAGACCGACGTCGTCTGCTTTACTGCTGGCGGAATTGCGGATCACATCACCAGTAAATCGACAGTAGCGCTCCCAACCACGCAACGTTGTCACGTCTTACATGTGTAACTGCTGGCGGCGATTGCGGATTACACCTTAGCTTGGACCGGGAAATTTTTTTGTTGCATTGGGTACGTTTTTTCTGTAGTCAGTCGGTTGGTCGGTCGGTCCAATTCTTCAGGAAAGTTAACTCATACTCACTACTTCACAGGGTGTTATCCGCAATCATCACCAGCAGTTACATATGTGAGACGTGACAACGTTGTGTAACTGCTGGTGTTAATTGCGGATTACACCCACTATTGAGCTTAAGGGCTCGGGCACATGGAACCGCGTAAAGAGTAAAGCATATCGCATATCGCGTAAAATTATGGGATCAGGGAAAGTTAGGTAAGGTACGCTTTACGCAAAAAAATTTGTCATCGCGCACATGGGAGTAAAAAATACGCGCGTAAGTATTTTTGAACCAATCACAGCGAGTATTTCGTTGGCTTTGCACATGCTGTATCGCTCGTACTCCCGACAAGAAATGACCATTATAGACGGCCGTAGCTGAACACCAGGCCCTGACCAGCTCGACAGTGATCCAAAGGCTAAGACCAGGGCCTGGCCAGGTGAGCCTTACATCGATGCCAGGGCCTAGGCAGGAATAAATGTAGAGTTTATCACACGGTGTAATGACGTTGACCGCAGGCTATGATAAGGGCCTGTCCAGGGCACATGTATATATGTATAATAACATATATCTTTTTTTTTATATTATAGTGATCTACCATAGAGATATCAGAATAGAGGGGAAAAGCGCTATACTAGCCCATTAGCGGCAGCGACAGCATAATTAAGAGTCTATGTGCTATGAATCCTATGAATCCTTTCTATGAATCCTATGAATCCTTTCATAAGGGCACTTTACCATGATGTAAAAATACAGGGTGTTGCGTTCCGAAGTCTCATATTCATGCCGTTCTGCGCCTTTTGTTGCGACGCCATATTTAAGGGAAATGAGACTACTACAGCGCCGAAGAGCCCACAAGATGAAACGAAGTGGCCAAAGTTGAAACTAAAACCTGTCCCCCGCATATCCACCTCGAAGTGAGACATGTAAATAGATATAGACATGCATATACGTCAATTGATGAATATTTACCTATTTAGTAAGTTTTTTCTGTGTAAATATTCACGAATTATACGTTTGGTCACTGAAACAACTGGAATGAAAATATTAAAATAAAAAATATATATTGTTCAACGAGTTTCTTGATTTTAATACGTTTGGTATTTTATAAGCTTTTGAAATTCGTAGACAGACATGGCGTTGCGATGGAAGCGTTCCTGCTTGGTCAATCAAAAGGGATGAGCAACGCCATACCTTCAATTTAAACATTATAGGCACTACTATGGCCACTTAGCACTTAATTGGGAGAGGGACAAGAAATGGGATGGGAGGCCACCCATCACAAGAGGGGGGAGTAGGGGGAAATTAGGCAATTTTTGCTGCAAGAAGGTCGCCTAAAACCCTTCTCGAGAAGCATAGCATGGTGAAAAAGCACATGGGAAAAATCACAGAGGTTCTTGCCCAAAAAGTCGCACTGGCCAGGAATCGAACTGTTTCGTCAAAAAAAAGGGGATTGGAAAAGGGGGACGTGGTGCGTTTGGACAGCGGGAGGGAGTTGGGGCCAACTGTGCGGCGAGCTGCAAGCGGCGGTGGTATGGAACGTGTTTGTATGTGTGTGGGTATATGGAAGGGAAAAGAGGGAGAGAACGGAAGCGGGGAAAGGGCGGCAGTGGGGTTGGTGGAACGAATTCGGGCAGACTGAAGGCAACAAGAGGGCTCACAAAAAAGCAACTGCCATTCTGTTGGGAACCTGTCGCCGTTTTGTTACATCCGTTCGCTTGAAAAAAGGGCAATCCGTTGAGAGAGCGCAAGGTGTAGGAGCATTGGGCACGAGGTATGTACAGAAGGGCTGTGAGTGGATGTGTGTAGCGTTTCCAGTCGAGCTTCCTGGTAAGCGCATTACGATTGCCTCGGTAGTGACGAGACCAAGTCTCAAGGCGTGACAAGATTGAGTCGGTGCAACAACCCGACAACAATATCAGTTTATACTCCTTGAAGGAGGCGTTTTTTTGTACTATTGCTAACCTTGTGCACCGGCACCACGAGCTTCGACGAACTATCGCCAAACTCATAGTCATAAGACGCAGAAACCACCCCTAAGTGGAACCCAAACCCTTGACTTTATGAGGTCGAGGCGTCCTTATTAAGAGCGACGAGAAATCTGAACTCTATTTCTTGCGTAGGTGAGAACACAGCGTCAGCAACTGATCGTCCAATTCGACCCTTTTCTTTTAGCACGTGAATTGAAGCGGCACTCGTAGTTACCCTCACCGAGGAATACTAAAGCAATATTCCGCGCATAACCGATCTTCTGACGTAATCGTAACTAGGAAGTAAGTTGCTGACCCTACTTAAGTTGTAGGTCCTTTTATTTTAATTATGTACTCGATAATAATGCTATACTACTGAAATAACCTTTGCATGTGTCTTCCGTGGCGTTAGTAGTGTTATTCCTTTTTTCACATTTCCTCTTGACACATCAGAAAGGCAGATTGACCGCATGGTCATTATACAATTAAGGTTTGATATGTTAAATAATCAGTGTTGTCAGTTTCCGAAAAAATTCATATTTGAGCGCGATTGACTATGATGTGCTAGTAATAGAATGAAAATTTATGTTGATTGCATTATTGTTTGTCATCCATTCTTTCAACCGTTACCATCATAGTGCATATTTTAATCCTCGTTAACAAGGAGAGATCACCCTTCAACGGGAGCTGTAGGCTACAACGATAAGAATCCGTTCTAATAATAATTGAATTTTCTAAATCTCCTCGAGAAAACGGGACGTCTGGATTTCGACGAAACACGAACCATACGGTCTCCCGCGCAGTGTTCGTATTGTCAGTAGAACTCCATCGTCATGGGTTTGGAGGTAAAGTTGGTAGCTCTTACAAAATGCGTGGAGTGAGTAGAATCGCGTTAAAAGGTCTCTACGCATTTTGTAAGAGTTGCCAACTTTATCTCCAAACTCATGGCGATGGAATTCTACTGACAATACGAACACTGCTCCAGCGTGCCAATCTACGACCTAGCCGACTGAGCCACGTACCACGTGCTTCAATAACAAATATCTACTGTACTAACAGTACAACGTACTACACTACTACGTACAGTAGGGGTTATGGTATTGTTACGGGGTGCTGCCGATGCGGAGTAGCGAGGCGGAACTGGCAACCTCGACCGAGCTTGTGTTGCCCAGGTCCCCCCGGCGACACCTCCAATAAAACTTTATACGCGGGTCTCGCTCTCCGAGACCCCGCAGGTGACGAGTATCGCGGCGATCTTGCACGTCGTTGCCTCTCGCGACGACTTTAGTACGACACAAGGGGCCTATCGAAGCAACGAACGCACGCGTGAGTGAGCGAATGAGCGCGCGGGAGCGAGCCCGTGGAAGGAAGCAAGCGCACACTAGCGATGGGATATAGTTCCGGCCAGATTTGGGAATTCTCTAGGACCCAACCTCTCTGACGTGGGAAATCACTAGATCAAAAAAAAAAAAAATAGTACCGAAGGTGAAATTCAAATAAACTCCAATAAAACAAGCATCTATCACCCAATGACCCAGGGCGCTTACTGGCCACTCTGATAAATGAATAATTTTTAATAACATAAGCGCCTATCACCCAATGACACGGGGCGCTTACTGGCCACTTTAATAAATAAATAATTTTTAATAACACAAGCGCCTATCACCCAATGACCCGGGGCGCTTACTGGCCACTTTGTTAAATAAATAATTTTTAATAACACAAGCGCCTATCACCGAATGACCCAGGGCGCATACTGGCCACTCTGTTAAATAAATAATTATTAATAACACAAGCGCCTATCACCTAATGACCCGGGGCGCTTACTGGCCACTCTTTTAAATAAATAATTATTAATAACCCGAGCGCCTATCACCTAATAACCCGGGGCACGTACTGGCCACT